TTTGACATTGATGTCACTTGTCAAACACAACATTGACAGATGTACCATATTTTCTACACACATGACAGCTCAGTACAACAAACTGTCATCTGTCAACATGATAACCATAAATGTCAAATATCTGTTATATTATAAAAGTAGTTTTATTACTTCATTTATTTTATTATTTTAATGTAATTTTCAAAATATAACAATAATCTCAGATTGTTTGAAACTAAATAAAATAGAAATAAACCGAAGAAAATGAGACTGAATTATACAGGAAAAAAGGTATTAATTTCAATTTTTTGTTTAAACTATTTATTCTTATCAATCTCTAAATCCTATATCACCATTTGAATTTGATGCAATATTCTGTTTGACATAGATGTCACTTGTCAATGACAAACACAACATTGACAGATGTACTAACTTTTCTACACACATTATAGCTCAGTAAAATAAACTGTCAACATGATAACCAACTGAATGTCACAAATGTCAAATATCTGTCATATTATAAAAGTAGTTTTATCACATCAAAATTTTTAATATTTTAACCTAATTTTAAAAACATCACAATAATCTCAGATTGTTTGAAACTGAACTAAATAAAATAGAAATAAACCGAACAAAATGAGACTTGAATACAAGAAAATAAAACGTTAATTTCTATATAAAAAAATAATTTTGTTGACTTATTTTTGAGAATTTATTTTTATTTTGCTAATTGCTATAGTGAATCCGAACTAATCGAAGCCTCACTATGTGAGATACTAATATACTGGACTATTATAAAGTTATTAAAATTATACACGAATTGATTTGATAGCAAATTTTTTGTTGTCCCAATTATTATTATATTCTGAGTATAATAATTGATTATATTTTACTGAAGTAATATTGTTATTTCTTCCTTATACATTGAAACAAATAAGAAATTGTGCACAGAAAAACTTTTAAAATTAAGTTTTTCTAATATTTGATCCAGTTTTCTTCGACGTATGTTACATTTCGAGGAAGTAGGTTTACTCGAAAATGAGATTACTTTGATTGATTGGTTCTATTACAAATACAGAACTCGTAGAAAGCTAACTTATTAAATCAATGTTAAACAAATATAAACCGCATGTATTTACTTACTGAATCAGTAAACAATTTAATTAAGTTTACAATTTCAGTTATATTTTATAATCAAAATTATTTCTGTAAAACGATAATAATATTTTCTATGTACAGTAATTCCTCGAATAGAGCGTTTTTTATCAGTGCGGATTTACTATAGTACGGTTTTAAAACATCAAAACAAAAAAAATGAAAATAAATTCTAAAAAAAAATGAACAAATGACCATTTATGAATACAGTCAAGTCTCTTTTTGAACTATAAATTTTTGTTGAAGTTTTGTAGTAATCGATTAGTGTGGTTTCAGTTCAGTTGCCAGTAATATTTCCAATTATTAAATGGAATTTTATTAAACCATAAACAAAGATTATGTCAAATATTATTATTGTACAAAGTATCAAAAGAGAATTGAAATTTTTTGAATAGACAATTTATTTTTTTTTGGGGAGATAATATTATGCGAATCAGTTTCTCAATCCGATTCTCGTTAAATCCGCAAATTGATCCACATAAGATAAATTGTTTTCCAGGTTCACGCAGCAGAATAATTTCCGCTTAATTTAAGTATTAGTATGCAGCACGCATTTACCGGATTCCAGTTCGTGTACATTTTTTTTCCTCTCCCCCTTTATTTTCAACTTTACTCATTCTTTCCATTACCAGAGCAAATATACAATTAATAATTTATTAAAAATAATCTTAAAATTTATTATTTTCGCATTATATTTAAACATCATCAAATGTAAGTAATTTGGTAAGAAGACATTTTTAACTTTTTACTACAAAATACAACTAAAAAATAAAATTTTACTGTTGTTTAGTTCTTCCTTGGAAACTTTTGAACTGTTACTTCAATGTATAGAAATACTTCAAATAGTGCCGCTTCTATCAGTCCGGATTCAATATAGTCCGGTTTAAAAAAACAAACGAAATTTTCAAAAAAATATGTTATTTATACATGATCGTTTTTTTCCTTTTATATAATCAAGTCACTTTTTATTTAATTTAATTCTTCCATTAGTTCGGTTTTAAACAGTCCGGGATATTGTTGAAAACGTACTATTTCGGTATAACGAAAAAGTTGGTAAATTTCACTTTTTTTTTAGTTATTTCCAAAAAAATAAACAACATTGTTATAGTTTTAACAAATTTCGTGCAGTTGTAGAATTAGGTAAGGTATTTCGATTCACGTAGCGAATATCACCGGAATTTATGAATGTCTGCAGTTTACTACATGAAAGACCATCAAAAACAGCAAACTTGTTAAAGAATTTGTTCTGCTCGCAAAGTTTACATTAACTAGACTTGAAGCACACCACTTATGTTATGTATTTTAGTTTATATTTAAAAAAAAAATCAAGAATCAGTCATCATTTTTTTGAAATTCATAAATTGGGCTATATTTTTTTTGATAAATTTGTATTAAACATCAATCAACGTCAAAATATCAAAATGTTATCTTCAATATTTAAACAGGATAATGCATAATTCAACGTTTGCTCTTTCTTAAGGGTCTTTAGGGTTGTTCTGCAAAACCCCTTAGGGAGAAGTTATCATTGTTGGAAGTGTGGAAATAATATAGATAGGTATTCTTTGTTCTTTTTCTCTTTTGCGGATCAACTCAATTTTCTGTTTTTCCAATTGAACCAAATGATTTCGATGCAATTAATTCCTTGTTATTTTCCCGTTATCAAAAGCCCGAGCATTATCGTGCTGAGCATTAATGAAGCATCGATAAAGGCCGCAATTTGATAAGAAATCATAATCAAAATCATGCACAATGTTACATGGAATAATTATTTTATATATATATATACAATCAAAAAAAACTATTACTATCATTGCGTATACGAAACAATTATTAATGTTCTACCAGTATTATTTTATATATTTGCATGTTACCAGATATGAAACTCTTTATAAAGGTATCATTAAAATCGATTATTTTTGTGTTATTATGTAAATAATTCAATTTATAAACTCTCAGAATATTCTATTATTATATCTACTGTTTAATCTAGTGTTTTCACTTCTCAACAATTAATTCAATCACAATATTCTTGCCTTTACTTATTTTACGATTTTTTATACACTTTTATTTGCATCAAACCAAATGAAATTGTCTACATTCGAGCTTAATAACATTATTTCATTACTTTCAATGTTATTACAATGTTATTACATTTAATTAAATTAGATTTTTTTTTTCAGCTTACAATGTTATGTCTTTCGGTTTGTTTAGAGAATTTTCATGTTGTTGAAATAATTTAATCATTATAATCTTATTATTTTATTCGTGAACAAATTCTAAATTCTTACTGAATAAACTACATACGTTTTTTGTTACCAAAAATTAATAAATTTATAAATTCGTAAATTATTTGGTAGAAAAAAATTAAGATTTTTCTTAAGATGAAGTCTATTTCTCATAATTTAGTAAATTGTTAACAACAAATATCACATACATCAATTATTATCAACAAACAAATGTTTATTTTCATATTTAGTAATAAATCATAATTTTTAGGTTTTCTACTAAGTGGAAATTTATCAAATTCGTATAATTTATAATTACTTCAGTGATAACATATAATATGTTTTTTTTATAAATAGTTTAGTTATATAAAGAAAAAATATGTATAAATAGTCCAAGAATTTTGATAAAATGACTTGGAGTTGACTTCAGTTGAAATGATATTGAAATAAAATTGGACGAAATAACAAACTAGATCTGTTATTACGTTTGAATATTAAATTTCACTGCACTTGCAAACTGAAGAAAAATATATTTTTTGGTAAATGAAATGTATATTTTACTATGAATACAATGAAATTATGAAAATTCATTAAAAAATACTGTAAAATGTAATTAAGAATAATATTTCTACATTTGCAATTATAAATTATTGAAGAAAAAATTGCATTTTTTTTACGAATTTTTACTGTTAAATATAAAATTAAATCTAGGAAATGTATCAATTCTTACATGAAATAATAATGTGTAAATAAAATAATTTATTTTTTTTAAATAAAATTTGTCTCTTATAAATAATACTTGTATTATCAGAAACAGATTTAAATTTTTGTTCAAATTAAATGAAGTTATTAAAAATTGAAAAAAAAACTTATAATTTTGAAGACAGTTGAAAAAAATATATATTAGAAAATTTGTATCAACAATTATTGCAAAAAAAAAATATTGAAATAAAATAACTTATTTTTTCTTTGATATAAGATTTACTCTTCTATTGTCAAAAATACGTTCAAAATTTTGTCTACATTAAATGAAAATGAACACATATAATAACATTAAAAAAATGGATTAAATCTAGGAAATGTATCAATAATAATCTGAACATAAAGTTAATTCTTTTTTTAATAAGATTTATTAGTTGAAGCAAGACTTAAATTATTAATAGCAGTTTTATAAAGTTATTTCAGATTGATTTTGTTAATAAATAGTAACAAGTTAATAAAAAACAACAAATTGATAAATTATATTTACACTTTTAAATAATACTTGTATTATCAAAAATACGTTTTAAATGTTCTATAAATTAAATGAATTTATTGAATATTGAAGAAAAATCGATAGTTTTTAAGAATTTTGATGATTGTTGAATAAAAAATATGAAAATCAAGACTTATAATTAAAATATTAAAAAATTGTATTAAATCTATGCAAAATATCAAATAATAATCTGAATTTTTTAATAAAATTTACTGTTTGAAAGAAAACTCAAATTATAAAAAGCAGTTTTATCAAGTTATTTCAGATTGTTTTTGTTAATAAATAGTAAAACGTTGAATTATTAAGATCAGTTTTGTAAATTTATGGAAGTTGTATTTTGTTAATGAATTTTATGTTTGAAAAATAGACGTAAAATTTGGACTTACCGGTGTTTCTCTGCAGCTCTCTGTTGATCTGTGTAATCTGTTGCTTCTGGAGCGTCGAGTGGTACTGACTGACGAGAGCGGTGGTCTGATCGGCTCTTGAACTCTTCGAGTGGAAGTAGCAGCGGTGGCGGAGGCGCCGGGTATGCGGATCACACGAAGTCGCAGGAACCGATGAAGACTTCCCTCCTCTTCGCAGGGCGAGAGAGAATATATTCGAGTGGATGTGTGTGGTTGACTATGGTAGTCTGTATGACTAGAGGAAGGAGGACGTGGAGTGCGCACAGCACCGTCGAGGGACGGGTTTTATACCAAACTTTGGACCTCCCACTTGGTGGATCTAACCTACCCCCGACCATCTGCACCACCGTCATACACATATTGCGTGGGCCCAGAAGACACCCACCGATTATTAACCATTTAACGGACGACATGGAAATGGAATTACTAAATCTGAACCAAACAAAAAAAAATGTACATGTATGCTGCAAAAAAAAATAGAGTGAGTTCAGGGTTTTCCTCTTCCACATACACAACGTACAGTTTCCGCTCAACATTTTCCACATAACGTTATTTATTTTCCATTTGACATTTAACATTTAACAATTATAAATTATTGTAATAAATATGGTTTAACTTCAAATAAATCAGAAATAAATCTGTAACAACATTACTTTCCAAACTAAACTAATTAATAATCAATTAATTAACAATTTTCATAATATATTAAAAACAAATACAATAATAATATTTTTATTTATAAATAGATTTTCATCAAAAAATTAAAAAAAAATAATAAATAAACTTTATATAATCAAAAATTATAAATAATTTATTTCATTTTAAACACTGAATAATTCACTGTATTATATATTAATTAATAATTAGTTAATATTCGTTGAAATTCACTGAAGTTTTCCTAAAACTAATGTTTATTTTGATGTTTCAAACTTTGCGATGAAGATAAATTAATTGAAATAAAATTGCAATTTTGAGGTGAATTCATTATTTAGTTGCGTGCATTTGGTGGCAGTCGTAGAAATTTAATTAAAAGTTTAACTAAACTGATGTTTAAATAATAAAACAAATCGTAAAAACATATTTCAGAATAAAAAAAAATAACACGAAATTAATTTTTAATTGTAACCAGTTTTGTGATTTCAATTATAGCAACATCTCTTATAGTTAAGGTAATCGGTTCTATCTTTATCTCAGATTGTTTGAAACCGGACTAATCGAGGACTTTAAAAGCACGCAAAAAGAGAAAAATTATATCTTTTTAGAACTTATTTTTTATTTTGCTTAATTAACATTTAGTTTCTGTTGAAGTTTTCAAAACCGGACTGATAGAAGCCGGACTATGCAAAGCATTACTGTAAACTTCTTCGAATTTATATACGAATAACTCATTAATTAATTTGTATAGTTTGGATACTAATTTTAAACTTCTTACGCAAATCTATAATATTGAATAAAAAGAGATTTTCAAAATATGCAAATAATAAGTAATAAAAAAGGAAACAAGCATTAATTAATAACTTCTAATAAATATTTGTTTATGATAAATATTCAGAATACAATACATGTGACCATTATACTAAAAATGTAGTAAATAAATGTTTTCTAATTTATTTATTTTTTTCTAAATCAACACAAAACAAAAGTTTTATATTACAATCAGTGAAAATTTGATCAATATTAAGAAAAAATAAACATTCTTATAAATCATGAAATTAGTATTAACATTATAACATAATTTTACATAGATTCTAACGTAATCTTATTATTTTATCGAAAAAGGAAATGCAATATGGATATGTTAAAAAAAAGCATTATAGTTTCAGATAACGAACTTTAATAGTCAAAAAGTGTCCAATACACTCGTATAGTGCGGCCTTGATCAATCCGGTTAAAAAATTTCAAAACACATTTAGTTTTAATTCAACAAAATATAAATAAATTCTAAAAATTATCACGTTCTTTTCTCGATTTTCTTTTTGTGCGGTTTTGTACCTATGTAATTTCAATTGTAGCAATATCTCTTATAGTTCAGGTATTCGGTTCCTTCTTTATCTCAGATTGTTTGAAACCGGACTAATCGAGGACTTTAAAACCGCGCAAAAAGAGGAAGATTATATCTTTTTAGAACTTATTTTTTTATTTTGCTTAATTAACATTTAAGTTTCTGTTGAAGTTTTCAAAACCGGACTGATCGAAGCCGCACTATGCAAGGCATTGCTTTATACTTTTTCGTAATTTGATTAGTGAAAATTGCTATGTTTCCATTAATTTAAAATAAATTTAAGAAAACAAAATACTAATAATTTTATATTTTGAGTATTATAATCATTTTAAATTGAACATTTTTTCTAAATCAGCTTCAATTTTCGACAGACTTTGTAACTTTCCAATTTGTAACTTATCTCATTTTAAGCATATAAGTAAGTACAAGCATATAAGTAAGATAATTGACTCAACATCTGACAAATTACGAGCATTGTAACAATCTTACAAATTTATACACAGAAATAAATGTTAAATAAAATGAAACTCATTTTAGATCTCATACGACTTTCCGTCCAAATTATTGTTCTTTTTTTTCTAAGTTTTTCATATTATATATTCATATTTGTTGTAATAATCTGTATTTATATAATATAAATAATTTCATTAAGAAGAATTTTCAACTCGTACAAAACTTCACAAAATTTCACAAAGAAAATCAATATTTAGTCCTAATTCAGTCCTAATTATAATATTAAACAGGTAACAATAACAAAACAACTGTTTATCTTCAATTATGTTTTTTTTTTGTTTACAGTCAATTAGAGGATTTGTTTAGACATTAAGAGTATTTGCATGCCGTGGAATCAATTGCAGATATAAAGGGCAATAAAATTATAGCGTTTTTTTTGTTTATTGTTGTTATTCAACAAACAACATTTTTTATTGTCGTCGAATTATTTCGAGCTTTAGCATCGTTTATATGTATATTACTTAATCCCAGACATATGCACTGCAAATCGCGATTGTTCTGCCCGGCCGAACACCGCGCGCGATTAACGCGAAGATTTACAACCCAACGATGCTAAGCGACTAATCTAAATCTATAACAAAATAGATTACACTTCAAAAATTCGATTCCTTAAATTTTGGGGACAACTTTTATGGCTTTGTTGATATTATTTTCGTTTTTTCACTCCCTGAATCTGGATTTTCTCTTCGTCGGGTTTTTTTTGTTCTCTCTTGCGCAATATATCAAGATCTATTGGTATATTTGGTGGAAGAAATGAGAATAGTGTTTGGGGCAGATAAAACTGATCCTGATCTCATTTCGTGGATGGCGTTGGTTTCGTACACCGAATGACCAGAACGTCAATTCTCGAGCCACCTTTTATCCTTTTTTTTTGCAGAGAGACACATTCACACACACTCACTCACTGCTTTTATTTCTATTCTGTCAACATTCCGGAACGGCTTTATCGCTTTGCATAAATGTAAACGAACGAGAACCGAAAACTTTGCAGCTTTTATCGTATTCTTTCTATACCTATACACTCGACATCTATACACTCCTAGTATCCAATGTATTATTTCATAATGTTATTGCGTCTACGTATATTCATAATAAATACATTAAGTACTGTTAATTTATTTTTATTAAATGAACAAATCAAAAACTTAAAGAAATTTAACATTAGAATTTATACAAACAGTGGGGATTTAGTATTTGAGAACTCACAGGCGCAATTCAATTTTGAAGAATTCAAATTGCATAAATCAGTAAATAAATGATGATATAAAGATAATGTTTATTCGTTGCTTTCTATTTGAACACAGATTGCAGTTCAAAGTTGCATTACCCAAATATAAAACTATCATAAGCATCTTTTATATCCATTCTCTAATCACTATCATTAATAAGTAAAGACACTGTTAATTTTTCATTACTACATTTTTTACCGTGAATTACAGCCAAATAGATAAAATCACATCAATAATTGAAAACTCGTTACATTTTCCAAATATCAAATTATCATATGCATCTTTTGCATATATTATATCTAATTCAGTTTCTGAGAAAATCACTAAAATGCGAAGTTACTGCTTTTTTTGAGCGTTAATTTGTTCATTGCTATATTTTTGACCGCAAACTACAGCCAAATGGATGAATTCACATAAATAATTGAAAATACGTTACATTTCACAAATATCGAACATTCATATGTATCTTCTGCATATATTATATCTCGGTGGCAATCGCAAGCTCGACTACCGAAATACAGTCAATCAAATTCCGTCAAATGCCGACTGTATCAAAATCGGATTTTGATATAGTCGGGATTATGTTTGTCGGGATTATGGTTGTCGAGATTTTATTATAGTCGGGGTTTCGAACGTCGGGATTTCGATACAGTCAGGATTTCAATAGACGGTTGTCGGGTTTACGATATAGACCCATTATATCTATTATAGTTTCTGAGAAAATCTCTAAAATGTGAAAACACTGCTTTTTTCCAAGAGTTGTTTTTTTCATTTTTTCAACTTTTAACGCGAATGACACCGAAATGGATAAGACCACAGCAATGTATGAATATTCGCTGCATTCCCCAAACATTCAGCTTTCATATGCATCTTTTGAATCAACTTTATCTATTTATGTGATTGAAAATATTTTAGTCACAATACACATGGATTTATGCAAATAATTGTTCTGTCTTCAAAAAAAAAACAGCTTTTGTATAATTAGTACCAACTTCAATAATTTATGTGTTTATTTTTAATTACAAATAATGATTAACCTAATTTAACTCTACTCTAACATAAAATCAGAATCAAATGATATTATTATTATTAATAGTCCATTAATAATAAAATATAGATAGAGCAAATATTATAATTTAGTTTTGGAAATTTTCTTAAATATGAATCATTTCTGTTTTGCTTTCTTTATTATGTTTTGAAAGATTTTTTTATGATTTTATAACAATATTTCATACATTACATACTCAAATGGAACAAAAACAGTTTTTTTTTCTTATTACATCCAATTATTAGATAATTAACCACTTGATATAATAGTAATATAATAATATAATAGTAATATAAATTAGTAATAATATCTTGAACAATTAAGGTATTAAGACGGTATAAATCAAATATCAATTGAAAAACAAAACAAATCTTATTGTTGTCACGTAAATAAGTAATTGCAAATTGTAAAAAAAAGAGTAAATATTACAAATAAACAACATTTAGTAAAGGATCGAAAATATGTTGATTTATATTTATC